TTATTATTGCATTTTGTATGCGCGTATTTTTATATTGTATATAAAATACGAATGAGAATTAAATTATATAAAAATAAAACTCTGTATAAAATACATAAAAGCTTACATGTGTGAAATTACAGAATTGTCGCGCTGAACAGAATTCTTAGGTCAGAGGAAGTGCTCCGGAAGATCGCAATAGCTACCGGAAAACATAGGCCGCGTGACGTGCCGTCGTAAGACGTGCGCGACTCCTTGACAAGATTCCGCGTAAGAGCGAGACGGCCAAAGGCGGGTCCTTTTTACGGGCGCGCATGTTCTCGCGATCGTCAATTACCCGGACGACAAGCGGCGCTTCTTTTTGCGAGCCCAGCCGTGGAAGAGCGTCGTCGTCGTCGTCGTCGTTGTCGTCGTCGTCGTCGTCATCGTCGTCGTCGTTCTCCTCTTTCTCCACCCCTCTCTCCCTTCTCCTCTCCTTTTCCATCGTCTTCTCTCGCGACGCTTCTGAAGTTCTCTCTCCCGGGCAGCAGAGAGAACCCGATCGGCTGTTGCACAGCCGAAAGAGAGAAAGAGAGAGAGAGAAGAGCCCGGAAGATCGCCTGGGCGCGCGTCTCCCGCGGGGAAACGCGCCATTTATCCACGTCAGCCTCATTCACCGACACGCACGCCGGGGCCCGGTCGCAATCTACGATCCTTACCCACGTGACGGTGCCGCGCATAAATACACTTCATGCGCACGCACTCATCCTCCTCCTTTCCTTTCTTCTTTCTTTCCTTCTTCGCTCCTCTTACCTCTCAAGAGAGTTGCATTTTTGTTCAAATGGCGAAATCTCGAAGCGAAGACATGTATAACATTTTTTAAGTTAGACGGCGAAAAATATATACAAGTGAGAGAAAACGATACTCGGAGTTAAAAGATAAAGATGCGGAAATGTTACAACGAGATAAAAGAGTACATCCGACGCATCGGAACGCGCATCTTGCGTTGAATTTTTATTGTGTCATCAAATAACTCGCTCTTATATATATATGTGTCAAAGATCGCGCGAGAGAGAACAGTCGCGCACCTGTAAAAATTCAAACTATAACTCCGCGAGTGTGGCTTGGAAAGCAGTTCACAGCCGATCTCGCGAAGAATGCGAAATGGAAATTTTTTTTCGAGGGCATGTGCGTACACGCGCAAACGCGCTCGCGTTCCGTTTTATTTTCTTCCGATGCACTTATAAACGCACCGGCCTCTCCTTCCTCCCTCTTCCTCCCTTCCTCTTTGCCCCTGAACGAGTGCGTGCGAAATAACCACATGTACGTACGTGCGTGCTGACGCGTACGTATATATACGCGTATATAAAGTGTACTGTGTGTACATGCGTGCGCGCGCGATTAAAAGAGCGAGGCATCTCACACCGGGGCGAATTCACGGTGGAACAGCGGCATCCTGCTGCTCGCGGCGCGGATAGACGCCGCGATAAAGCGTTAGTTAACGCGGAAATTAACCGTTATATCTTTGCACTTATTTACTCTTTACGCGGGGAAGATAACCTAGCGAGCGCGCGTCTCTTACTTTACATAATGCACGCGCTCGTAAGACACTCCCGAGGCCGATCTAAAAGGATCCGTTAATGCCATTCCCGCCAGGTGTCTTGAATTACTTTCCTGCTGCTCGCGCGCGCGCGCGCGAAGTGCGACGGCGAGGGAAAAGACCCACTTTTGTTCGCCGAACGGAGACTTAACGGAGAAACCATTCTCTCGTTCGCCGTGAACACACGGCTAACGATTCCTCCCTCCCCCGTCTGCCCCAACGGTCTCCATTTTGCGGTCGCCGTCGGTGTCTCTCCATCCGGTGTCATCTTCCGCCGTGATCGATGATACGTCAGGAATTCCGCGGTGACGCGGCGATCTTTTTAGCGAGCCCGCAGCGCGCTCCCGCAGCTCGTCCGTCGAAGCGGTTTCAGAACGCTCGGAAATAGCTTCAAAATGAATGGATAAAAGACGTGTGCGACAGAAAAATATACGTCGCCCGTGTATGTACGAGATATTGAGACATTTACTTGCACAGAGAGATCGAAATTGTCGCATATTAATTCGGTAATATGACATTTCTTCAAATTATTTTACACGTAATAAATATTCTTGTTTCTAAAAAAAAAACATGTTAAAACTCACGCAAAATCTCTACAGACACGATGTGTCCGAAAAATGAAAATCGAGTGACCTTAACGCTAAAAGCGCAAGGACGTGACGTCCGCACTTTATTCATTCATAATATGCGACGCGACGTGTTTCTGTGCGTGTGTGACGTTCCGCCTTCCGAGGCGAAGACGGAACGAGAATGAAAGAACATGTGTGACAGATTCTGTGAATATTGTTCCATCCGTTCGCGTGAATATCTCGTAGCTCGAGCGCTGCCTCTATCAGCATCCACCAGATGACTCCCATTCTCGGCAGAATCCGTGAGATGCCAGAAGCGGGAGCGTTTCCATCTCCATCTGCTCTCCGTCTCCCCTGATGTCAACGCGAGCCAACGAGCCGACCAATGGCACGGCGGCCTCGTCCGTCGCGCGGCGATCGCTATTGGCTCGGAGCGAGCGGACTCCTATCGAACGGACGTCGGGGGGCTGCGCCTCGCGGAGGCTGCTGCTTACGGAGGTTACTGTACCCTTACTAACCCCGCGAGAAAAAGACGGAGATGAAGAACCGACGAAGAAGAGAAGCGCGCGAGCGGGAGATAAGCTCAGCGCCTGGCTGTTGCTCCCGCTGCTGCTGCTGCTGCTGCTGCTTCTTCTTCTTCTTCTTCTTCTTCTTCGTTAGTATCGCTTCCAGCCGTCTATCCGTCCGGAAAGTCTTTGATCGATATGACAGCATCCTCCTCCCTTACCACAATGACAGCTTTCTTATTATATGGCGCACTGCGCAACGCGTTTCGTTCGCATCGGTACGTCGACTGTCCTGGGGACTCGGGGAACGAGAGGAGGCGACAACTGATGTGATCGAATTAGATTGATGTTGATCGAATCGGAAATGTTGAGTAAAAGATGATGAACTTTTGGCGCGCGGAAAGGTGATTTCTTTTTGTTTCGACAATGTTGAAACAAAATGACGATCGAAATAATTGTGTAAGAAATTGATTTTAATTGATAAAATAAATAATACAACCGTGTGATGTTTAATTTAATAAAAATTAACATCTCCGAATCTCATGTACGTGCACGTACGTAACGAATTGTGCGCTTGAAGAGGATGACGGCGATTACAAGCACCGAAAATCGTTTTACACCTTGCTACCACGTGCGTCCGATGATTGTAAGCGCAATCGCATCTCTTTGGTAAGGCGACGTGCGAGATTAACGACAACTCGCGGTTCGATTTGTAGCGGCGGCTTGATCGTGCCACCCGCGGTTAATGAGCCTAATGGGACATCGGGGAGCGAAACGACTCTGTCGCACGGAGACGCGTTGAATTTTCGCTTTTGCCGCAGCACATCGGCCGGTGCCGTCGCTTCGGCCAAATATAGTTGATCGCGGCGCGTTAAACCAGAAGACGAATCCAGAAGAAGAACTGGTCCTGACGGATAATGCATCTAAATGTCACTCCCGACGTTCTTACCGGCCGCAATTAAAAGGCGTTCGCACGCCGTGCGCTGCGAATCGCGCACGCGCGTCTCTCCGTAAAAAAAAAAAAAAGAAAAAAAACGAAGAAACGAAATTTGTAATAGTAAAAATGCAAATTGTTTTTTATTTATACACAGGATGAAGTTTCAAAGTGAGTTTTTTAAGATTCGATATTTTTTATTCTCTTTTTTACAGTTCATCAGCTGCAAAAAATTCTAACGTCTCTCGATATTGTAATTACAAGAACACCGATTGTGTCTTTTATCCGATTTAATTCTACAGAAGCGTATCGGATACGTGCTTGTTAGGTAACAATATTCGAGTCGACGATCATCGAAGAGAGACGAGGTGACAAACTGACGGTGTTATTAAAATCGCCCGCAGAAAACACGTTTTTCGCCAGCTGGCGTCGTTTAAGTAATAATTTGTACCTGTACGCATGACCGACGCGTGACTAACCACTCTCGTGTCACGTCATTTCTCTTCTCGCGCGAGTGCTCTTCTCTCTCACACATTGGGATATTCCAATTGCAAATTAATTGAGAGTGAAATGCGAGCGTGCTAGCAAAGTGCCTCGCGCGACCGAGAAAGTCACAGCTAATCATGAATAATGAATGCCGTTTTAGCGCAGTTTAGAATGTGTGTTCTTGAAAACACACACGAGATCACAGTCGAGTCACCGAAGGGGGATGGAAAAGCGCGGAATAACTCAATAGCGACGTCACTCCTAATGAAAACTGAATTATTTCCAACCGCGCTTAATATCGCGTCTTTATAAATCTGTACGTCCTAAATCTTATATGCAAAATAAAAAATTTTTATTGAGCAGCGAACAGACAATAACGCAATAATAAATAGAGAGAGACAAGAAGACAACGCAAAAGAAATAAGTCGTACAAAAGATGTGACAAATTACGCAAGACGTTTTAAGCAAAACATATTTCCTGAATCGGAGAGAGGTCCTTTAGGAGATAGCGCGCGGCGCAATGCCCGAACAAACAACATTATCATTTATATAATACCAGTAGTAATATGATCATAGAGACGATACTCAACGACACAACCCCATCAAGCCGGCACCAATAAAAGACAGGGAGAAAACGGCCGAGTGCGACAGAGCAAACTACTTTCGCGTGAAGGACAAAGACGGGTCACGTGAATGCGACAGAGACAAAGGCGGTAGCCGCAAAGGCGCCGGCGCAGCGCGCAGACGCCCGGCGTCCCGACGCCTCTACCCCTCGAACCGGCTTCAAAAACCCCACCCCGTCGCCGCCCGGCGAGAGATCGCAGTATGAAGGGGGTTAACCCCGCTTCCCTGCCGCGGCGACGTCCGCCCCTGGCCCTGGGTGGCCGTCCCAGGATCGTAATATTATGCCGACGGGGAGCAGCTTCCATCTCGCGCGAGTCTATCGCGTCCTTCGAACTTCCTTCTCGCACCGGCGACGCACTCGTGAGTTTTCCGCTCGCGTATTTCGGTGTCGCGCAGTTTCCCGCCCGCAGGTTTTCCCGCACGCGAGTTTCGTCCGTGGAAATTTCCACTCGGTGGTACTCACGACGACGTTGTCGTCGTTGTCGTCATCGTCGTCATCGTTGCAAATCTCGTGTGTGTTCGCGACAACCATCTCCGTATGATAAACAATGTTTTAAATATATTTTCCGCATTGCGCTCGTGAATTTTTCCGCTCTAAACTAAAAATAACGTCGCTTCGAAAACACATCGTTGTCAAATATTTTTACACGTTGAATTTATGCTGCTAACGAATCTCTCCCCGTTGTGAGAAAAGTGCCTCAATCCGTCAGCAAGATAAATCCAACGTGGTGATTAGTGTTGTGATGTTTCGCATCTTGAGATCGGGGAAGAGGAATGATCAACGTGGCTCGGGACGATTGAGAGATCTAATGAAGGTGCGGTGCCTCGTGAAGAGAACGAACTGGTGAGTGTAGAATAGAATGATATGATCAGAATTATATTGTATATATGCGCGTGTATGCGAATACGTGTGTGTGCGTGTTGTGTGTATGTGTGTTGTGTGTAACCGGCACAATTACCCGACGGATCGTGAAAACGATTTGCGTTGCGCAATACAAAATTGTCAATCTGAAGAATTTGCTTTATTTGAATTTCCCAACGAATTTTCGAACGCAAAGGAAGAGATTCGAGGATTTAAAAATTTGCGTGCGTCAGTTTTGTAAATACGCACTTGGTGCGTACACGTTACATTGTTGTATCACTGCGTTCTAATGATCAATAAAAACAAAACGTCTGTGGAACAGATGAAATGTTGTAGAAGTGATCCTCTTGCTTGCGACACTGCGTTTTGTATTATCGTAAAAAGAAACACAAACACGTCGGCGCATTATCTTCTTTACACTCTCGCGACTCTTCTCCTGTCCAGAGCATGATTGATGACTACGGCAACTGTCTGGCCAGCTCGGGGAAGAAGGCAAGATTGTCGGAGCGCCGGAATATCCGGTGTTGGAACCGCGTCGCGACCAAGCCAAACTCCGGAAAAGTTGACGGCTCCAAGATGACCGCGATTTAGATGGAAATAGCCGGGCGAGAGATATATTCAACCGCGAAGTGCTTCGTCGAACCGGTAAAACGAGAAAGAGGAGACGGCCAGCAGGAGATCTTGCCGTCGTGTTTCCGACTGTTTAGTGAATTTCAGGTGAGTAAGTGCGGAAAGAAAGTCCATCGATCTCGCGCGCGTGTGTGTATGTGTGTGTGTATATATGTGTTGTAAAGTTTCTTCGGGAAATCAGTTGTCGGAAGTTGTCATTTCAACATGTCTTGCGTTTTATCTTCTACAAAGTAGAAAGACTAATAAGGATTTTATTTTGTACTCTTTATACAACTTTGAAAAGCAGAGAGAAATGAAGTATTTATATGATAAATATATAATAAATATATAATAAATATAAATTTATATAATAAATAAATAATTCATTCAATAAGTTTTTTTTTTCATGGAAATTACTTCAAGCGTCTCTTATCAAGCGATGTGCTCTTTTTTTCTTGCTTCCGTAGCAAAAAGTAACGCGTTTCCGCTATAAGTAATCATGTCCTCCTACAATAACACATAAAAAGCGACATATCTTCAGTCACACAACTGTGATTGCATCGTTCAACTTTGCGTCAGCTGAAAAAAAAACTGTTAAATCACTCATTACATAAAAAAAAAAAAAAAAAACGCGCCAATATGATCTCTACTGTAATGCACGTAATACGATCGTATTTCTCGCAGAATGCAGTTATTACGGCACGCATCGTAGCGGCGCGCGTCTAGCGAAATGCTGAAGGAAGTAGGCTGCGGGAACACGACGCCCCCGCCCGGGGACGGTGGTGGAACGAACAATCGGCAGGTCGGCGCAAATGAAGGCGGCGGCGGTGGCTGCGGCGCTGGTGGTGGTGGAGGTAGCGGGGGCGGTGGCGGCGGCGGCGGTATCAGCGGTCCCGAGGGTGTTCTCGGCTGCGGTGGCTGCGGAAGAGAGATCGTCGAACGTTGGTATCTGAGGGCGGCCGATCGCGCATGGCACTGCGACTGTCTACGCTGCTGTCACTGCCGAGTCACGCTGTCTGGCGAGCTCACCTGCTTTGCCAGGGAAGGCAATATTTACTGCAAAGAAGATTACTACAGGTTAGTGCGCGCGTCGGAAACGAAAGGACCGCGAGTTTGCGGTCGCGCGATGCTGCCTGCGGTCCATCACGTTTATCCGAAGAAAAAATTATTGCTCTGTCTTTTGAGGAAAAACAATACGCTGTGTCTAAACACAATGCCGTGTTCACCTTCTTTTATTTTATTCGAGAAATAAATCTCAGAGTTCTATACATCTTTAGCACGGCGATAAAAGAAAATGAAAAAAAAGGCAGCCTTAAAAAAAAAAAAAAAAAGAAACAAAAGTTCTTGAAACTAAAATTTTTTAGTGAAAGGCTTGAATTTCAAAATTGGAAAACAATAAAAAAAAAAAAAAAAAAAAAAAAAAAAACATTGTAAACGAGAGAAAATATGAATATTGCGTATCGTAT